ACCACGCCCTCACCGTGTATGCTGCCGCCGGTGGTGTAGCCCGGCAGCCCCGACAGCTGCAGCGCCTCGGCCGTCAGCCCCAGGCCGCTGAACGCGGCGTCCCCGTGGATGAACAGCCCCATCACCGCACCCCGCGCGGCCTCCCAGCCCGCGTCGTCGCGCGATACCGCCGCGCGGCGGCGCGCCTGCGATATACCGCCGAGCATGTGAGCGCGCGCGCAGGCACAGGCGGTCTTGTTTATGGCTGTAATGGGGTTCGGGCTCGGCGGCGGCCCGGGAGGCAGGGGGCGTCCTTGCCCTGCTGTGCTGGAAAGCACCCAGAGCATGAAGGACGCCCGCAACGCAAAAGGCTAATCCAGGTTATCGGAATCAGAAGACACCAAATCGACATGACACCTGTGGCCCGACTGCCGCCGCTGCCGCGCAGCGTCTCACCTGGTGCGCCCGCACCATGCCCATGACCACGGGGTTTACCGCCTCCAGGTGGCTGGGGTTGGGCGCGATGGACAGCGCCACGCGGCGCGGGGCCTGGCCGGGGGGCGTCACGTCCAGGGAGCCCGTCTGCCCGAGGTGGTACTTGACGTCTGAAGGTTACGGATTGTCGTGGGCGTGTGATACGAGTGGGTTGGTGTGGTGACGATTTGATAGACGGTTGATTATTTGATTGCTTGGTGGGCAACAGCTTGTTCGATGGTTGATGATGCGAACACAGTCAATTGCCATGCATAGCAACCAAGTGATTGGGTACGTGAGATTGGGTGCGCGAAAAATGGCGGGGCACCTCCAAGGCTGCCAGAGGCCGGCCAGCTGCCGGCTGTTTCACGAACGACGCGCGCCAAGTCCTGGCACTCATGACCCCTCCCGCGCGGTCGGCCGCGGCACCGGCCCCGGCCCCAGCTCCTGTTCCAGGCGGCGCTGTGACGGCCGATGACGTCACTCACCTCCGACCTTGAACTCGCTCTGCAGGCCCTCCATCTCGCTGCACAGGGCACCAATGGGCTTCCCCAGCAGGTGCACCAGCACGTTGAGGCGACCCCTGGAGGGGTGGGGGTGGCGCGGTGGCCGCAGCAGGTGTGTGTGTGTGTGTGTGCGTGTGTGTGTGTGTGCGTGTGTGTGTGTGTGCGTGCGTGTGTGTGTGTGTGTGTGATGTGTGCGCGCATGCGCATGCGCGCGTGTGTGTGTGTGTGTGGGCGCGTGTGTGCGTGTGTGTGTGTGTGTGTGCGTGAGCCATGTGTGGCAGAGCTGAACCTTTGCTCCTGCGTGTTGGCCTGCAACAAGCGCGCCTGGAAGTGTGGGCCATACCCTACCATCATTCCCCTCCCCAACCCTGGAGCTCATTCCAGCCCCTCTCCCACTTGTGAAACACACGCAAACACACACACACTCGCGTGCCACACACGTACACACGCCAAGCAGACAGCCACACGCCAGCAACACACCAGAGGGTCGAACACGCCCAGTGAGCGGCCCCACCTGTGCGCCATGCCTAACATGATGCGCTCCACCCCGTGGCCCGCAGACGCGCGTATGAGCGCATGCAGCCCGGGCAGCAGCGCCTCGCAGCCCTCCAGGCCAAAACGCTTGCTGGAGGGAAACTTGACAGACAGGAAGCGCTCGAGGGAGTCGGCCTGGTGGCAAAGGGGGGTTGTGTTGTTCAATTATTGATGCAGACGGCGTTTCAGATGTGTTGGTGTGCATCAGGGCGGCACAACACTCGCAGGCAACGCGTGGCTGTGGCCGGGCGCGCGACCCAGCCTGTGACGAGCACTCGCAGTGCGCGCCGCTGCCCTGTTCGCAGGCGGTCAACCCAGGCTTTGAGCGAGTGAAAGGGCGACGTCCCCGCCGCACACGCGCTCATACACACACGCGCGCACGTGCAAGCAAACTTGCACACACGCCCCGCGTGTGTGCGCGCGCACCTCCAGCAGCTGCCTCAGGATGGCGGCCCTCTCCTCGGGCTCCAGCTGGGTGCGCGTCTCAAAGCGCTGCTGGATCCACGCCATCTCATCCTGTTGGAAGGGCAAGGCAGAGATGGTGGAATAGGGGATGGGGGGAGCAAACTGGCAGGAGCCAAGGGGGCATATGCGTGGGATGTTGTGGCGTCCGTGACTGGCCTCCGCACCGTGCTCTGCAGCCCTGCACCATGCGCCCACCCATGGTGCCAAACATGATGACTGCCACGGCTGCGCTTCTCTCATCCAAGACAGCTTGACCGCCGCCGCAGCCAGGCCCCAAACCGCAAAACCCTACAATAACACACCCCCTGAACCTCAAAACCCGAACCACCACCACCCTGGCCCACCTGTTGGAAGAGGTGTTTGAATTCGAGGGCCAGCGTGCCGCAGTAGCGCTCCCGCATGACCTCAACCACCTCCGCCAGCCCCCACCACTCCTTCGCAGGGGCTCCGCCCGGATCGCCTGCGCGGCGGGGGCCCGACCGCGGCACGGGCGGGCGCGCGCGTCTATGTCTGTCGCGCGTCGCATGCTCGGCCCCGACCTCGGGTGCTACCTCATGTCCCCTCCTTTAAGCAGGGGTTGAATCGAGGGGCCCCCGCACCATCAGCTGCTACACCCAGCTGCTACACCCTGCTGCTTTCAAATCCAGGGTGCGACAGCTCGCCACGCTCGGCCCAAGCAGCCAGCAGCCACGGCGTCCAAACTGCCACGCAGCACACATGCCGTCCGCCACCCACCCGGCATGAGGGAGCCGACGGGCAGCCGCCTGTCGGGCGTGGCCGGCCCGATGAGGCCGAGCTGGCGCCCCACAAACGCGGCGCGCTCCTCGTCGCTGCCGCCCTCCGGCCACCCCGCGATCAGCGCCACAAGCGTCAGGTCGCTCCTGCGCGGCCGATCCGCGAGGAAAAAATGGAGAGGGGGTGTCAACAAAGGCTGCAGCTGAACGAGGCGGCAACAGGGCCAGTGCTGATTGAGCTTGGCCTTGCTGCGCTACCTCTTGCCGGAAAACAGACTGATTGCCCTGCTTGCGATGCCGCCGGTTACGCTGCAGGCGACCTACGAACAGCGGTCGCATTTTGAGGCCTCTCTGGAAACCTCTTGATAAAAACGCTGCCGTGCGCGCAAACAGTAGAGGCGTGCGCCTGCGCGCCCGCACCCACCTGTCGTTCTCCTGACCGATGGGCCCCACCCACGGCCCCCCCTTGCAGCGCCGCAGCGGGTCGAGCTGCGCCATCATGTGGCCGCGCGCCCTGAAGCGATGGATCATCTCGGACAGCTTGAGGGCGTCGATGACATCGTGATTATTAATGGCGTCACCACCCGGCGACAGGCTGCTGCTGAACGGCATGGCGGCGGCAGCGCCGCCGCCGCCGCCGCTGGCGGTGGCCCCGGCAGGGGTGGGTGCGGTGCTTCCGCTGCTGGGCAGGGTGTGAAGGCATGCGCGGGCCATGGCAGGCAGCCCAGCCGGTGTGATGGAGGGGCGCCGCCGCAGGGAAAAGGGCCCGAGGATCCAAGGTGAAGCTGGTCGCAGGGGCAGGCGCCGGAAAGGCGCCGCAGACTGCGCGCGGCCGCCCCACGGGGCGCCGCCCGAGGCAGGCGCATTGCTGCGGGCTGACCGACTGCTGCTGCTGCTGCTGCCGCTGTCGCTGCCCTTGCCATCCTTTTGCTGCTGCTGCCACAGGCGACCACGGCCGCGCATGGCGCTGTGCAGCGCCCTGCGCGTAGCGCCTGGCAGGCCGTGAGCGCAGGCCAGGGCTGCCCCCACTAGCGGCAGGAGTGGCGCGCACTCTCGCAGCAGCGCGTGCCGCTGCGGCACCAGGACGGCTGTCAGAGGGCATCCGGCTGTCCACACGCCGCTTGGTGGCATCGTCATGACGCCTGCTGAGGACGTGCTGCAAAGCAAGGCGGCACTCGGAGTGACAGCAGCGACGACGATGCCTCGACGCACAAGCCCGCCGGCGCCTCTGCTTTGCTGTGGCGGGATGCAGAGGCGCAATCCCTATATGACTGATACCGTTAAGCCCATGACAAGCGCCCAGTCACGAATCCTCATGTTCGCATTACAATGCTCTGAAAAGTGTGTGCAGCACTGCTGCCGCAGCTCTCGATACGTGGAAGCTAGATATAGCAATTTGATGAAATACATAGCAATATCTTTTCATCGAGGCATATATCTGGGGCTGCTGAGCTTCGCACACCCCCCCAAACACACCCTCCTGGTGTCACCTGATCGCACCCAGCGCCAAGCTACCCACCACAGACATACAGAACCGCATATGTAGCGATTGAGAGCCGTCGCAATCTTATCACGGGATCGCTGTACACGCAACACGCGATCTGGTTCCAGGGCGCGAACTGCCAAGTTGGCGTGCACTGAGCTTGGTGCTGCTTACAATACAACGCTGTGATTGAAATCTTCTATATTCGTAGGAACCGGCCGTCATGGCGGCCGCACAGGCGGACAACACTCAGTATGTGCAGGACGAGCGCGTCGCGGGCCTGGCGGACAGCTTCGGGCAGTTCCTGTCCGACTTTTCACCGGAAAACTGGATGCCTGAGCCGTCTCAGGGCACTCAGGGCAGCCAGGATGGGGGCGCCGCGCCAAGATCATTCATGGCGCGCAGGGTGGAGGAGATGTGCCAGTCGGGCGAAACGGTGCTTTACATCGAGTTTGACCACCTGCAGGAGTACAGCTACGATATGAGCCACCAGATCCGCGACCACTACGAGCGCGCCGAGCCCGTCCTGCGGCGGGCGCTGCAGGACCACGTGCGTCGGCGACACGCAGACTATTTGAAGGAGGCCCACGGCGTCGAGAAAGAGTTCTTCATCGGCGTCACCGGCCTGCCCGACACTGAGCGCCTGCGCGACCTGCGCGTAGAGAAGATTGGCCGCCTGGTGTCGTTCAGCGGCACAGTGACGCGCACGACCGAGGTCCGGCCGGAGCTGTTCCTGGGCGCGTTCAAATGCGGCAAGTGCAGCACGCGCGTCACGGGCGTGGAGCAGCAGTACAAGTACACCACGCCGATGATCTGCAAGGGGAAGGCGTGCGGCAACAGGTGCGTTCCCGGGGACGCAGCGCCACCGCCGCAGCAGCTGCTTGCACCTGCTGCCTGGGACCACTGCCTGTTGCAGCTGCACAGTCGCGCTCATTGGTGTCCATTGGTGTCACGCCGGCGAATCCAGAGAGGCTTTTGCGACAGCTTCAGAAGAAATCAAAATGACTGGCGTTTTTGGCAGGGGTCAAGACATCGCAACGCCCCGCATGCGCGGCCTGCAACTGTGCTGCCCGCCTCAAACCGAAACCGCCCGCCGCCGCCGCCGCGCTCTTGCACACATGCAAACGGACCTTGGTATACATGACACAATAGGAATTTGTGGGTCCTGGACCGCGATGAGAGCGTTTTTGTGGACTGGCAGCGCGTCAAGGTGCAGGAGAACGTTGACGAGGTGAGGCGCGGAGAAGGGAGGGGACTGGGGCCTGGGAGTGTGCAGCCAGGTCGGGCCGAGGCTGTGAGGCAGCAGGCGGGAGCGGCAACCTAGGGCGCGCCCAGCGCTCGCGCCGCGCCGGCCCCCCCGGACTCATCGCGCCGGATCCTGACGCACCCCGCGCCCGGCCCCCCCGCCGCGCCGCACGGGGCCCCCCGCCCAGATCCCCGGCGGCGCGCTGCCGCGCACAATGGACGTGATCCTGCGCGCCAACAACGTGGACCGCGCCAAGGCGGGCGACAGGGTCAGCTTTGCGGGCAGCCTGGTGGTGTGCCCCGACGTGGCGGCGCTCTTCTCCCCGGGACAGGGCGTCAGCATCAAGCCAGGTGAGCGGGGCGGGGCCGGGCTGGTTTTGGTCCGGCTTTGGGGGTGAACACAGGGGGCAGAGGGGGCGTCAGGCCGGTCTGGGCTGGGCGCAGCAGAGCAGGGCGGAGGGCAGGGCTTTGGGGGTTGGTGCAGGTGGGCGAAGGGGGGCTGAGGATGGGTGGGGACCGTCCTGCGCGCGCGGCGGGGCACGGGCGGCTGCGCGGCGGGCGCTTGAGGGCGCCTGCTTTGCCTGAGGCCGGCGGCTGGGGCCCCGGGGGTGCGTCGACGCATCTTCTTGGCAACGGCAGAGGGGTTAATGGGCTTCGGCCGCAGGCCGGACGGGCGCTCGCCGGCTCAGCCCTGACTGCTGCGGGCGCCGCCGCGCTGCCGCCGCACCTATAATTGTGTTACTGCAGCCGCGACATCGAACGACGCGACGGGCGAGGGCGTGGTGGGCGTGGGCGCGGGCAACCGTGAGGTGACTTATCGCCTCATGTTCATCGCATGCTCGGCTCAGGTGGGTTTTGGGGGGTGGGCGGTGTTTTTCATGGGGGTTTGGCGTGGAGGGGGCCATGAGTGGAGTGCTGTGTAGCCGCTTGAGAAGCGGAGTATGGGACGCATGCGTGTGTGTTTGAACGTGGGCGCAGGACAGCTGAGAGGTGCCTGTACGAGCTGCCGCCCCGACGCCCCCACCGCAACTG